GCCATGGCTACGCCCACAGTGTCTGCTCCGCCTGACTTTGGTCCTGCTGCAGGTGATGTTGGGAACACTGGTGCTGATGCCGGTGCTGGTGCTACTGTGCCTGGCGCTGACAATCCTGTTCTTCCGCCTGTCCAGCCTGACCAAGGAGCTGCCGATGTTGTGGTGCCTCCCCCCGCGGCCGCTGTGTGTCGCGTCGAGATGTACGGCACGGCGGAGTTCCCCTTTGCCAATGGCATCGATGTACTGAGTGACTTGCCTCTGCCCCAGCATTTTGCTCCGCTTCGCCGGCCGTTGCAGAGGTTGCCGCGAAATCTGCGTCAGCATGGGCATGTACTGACAGGTTTTTGCCTGACGCCCTGTCGCGCAAATTGCGGGTTTCTGTGTTCCCGCCCCGTCTCAGTTACATCGAGACGCGGGCACCGCGGGCATTATTGCTCTGCGTGCCGTGTAGATGAATGATCTGATTCTCTGGGGCTCTGTCTGGAAACTGAGGGTTGTCCTTTGCCGTGGTCTGCCGTGGCTGCCCTCACTTCTTGAACATGTGACCCATTCTGTTCTGTGGCCTTGTGGCTCTTTCTGCGATGGGCTGCTCGGCTGTCTCTTGCGAGGCCATGCTTTGCAACCTGTTGTTCTCTGATGTGGCGCTTGAGCGCAGGTCTTGGATCTGGTTGGCATCCAGGCGGGGCCGTTGCTCAATGGAGCCAACTGTGCTTGTGCACCTGGCAGGTCTCTTTGCCACCTGCGGCTGGTGCCGGTGGCCTGCTGACATGTGTTACCGTGGCTGTTCTCAGCTGCTTCTGCCAGGTACGCTGGTGCGTCCTGGCTCTCTCCCTGGCTTGGGCCTCGGGCTGTTTTTGTGATGTGATCCTGCTGCTGCTTCCTGTTCTCAGGACTGTGGTGTGGCTGGTGCCCACCCCTCCCACGTGACTGTGCACTCTGTGTCTCAGTTCGTGTGCCTTGCGGCAGGTACTTCTGGTGCCTCTCCTGGCCGGCTTGTGTCGCAGCCTCGGAGTGAACACTGTGTCTTCGGCGATGTTTGGTCTTTGTGGCAGGATACCTTTACGAGCTGGTGCTCTGACTTCCTGCCCATTGCTGTCATGGCCAGCATCGCAGATAGTGAGGTGACTTTTTGCAGCCGTGCCTTGCAGTATGGTCTCAGTCAAGCTGTTGTTGACAGTCTTGCTTCGTCTGGCATTAAGACGTACTCGTCATTGCTTTTTGCGGTGGCCAGTGCTCCTGGGGCCATCGACGATGCTCGTCTTAAGGCTGCTCAGTCCAAGCACTTGGGTGCTGACCCGTCGGAGGGCTCGCTGTCCGCCTTTGCACGTTTGTTGTTTGAGGCTGGCACCTTTGTGGTTGCTGAGTTGCGCAGCAGTGTGGCTGGTGAGGATGATGGGTCCAAGAAGTTGACACATCAGGAGCGGTCGAGCCGCATGGCGGCCATGAGGTCCAAGCTTGGTGCTTGGCCCATTGCTGGGTCTTTTGAGCCCAGCAACTCCCTCATCGACCAGGCCTTCTGTATGATCTCTGACTCATCTGTTCGCTACATTGCTCCCAGTCGCTGCAGTTCTCGTGAGCAAGAGATTGTTAGTGAAAAGAGGGACGACACCCTCTTTCGGCTGGAGGCCAGTGCTCTCAAGGCTGCTCGGAAGCCTACTTTGTTGAAGGCTGATGTCAGTAACGAGCTGCGCCTGTACCAAGCTTTCAGTCGCAGGGGTGTTGCGCTTGAGGTTGCCAACGTCTGTTCTTTCAGCACGCACGAGACGTATGTCAGGGGGCTTTTTGAGCACTTGCATCGGATGGCCCCTCCGGGGTACAGCCCTCCTGGCATTGACGCTGTCATCGCTGCTGATCGTGCTGTCTGGCAACAGGTTGCTTCTCAGGTGCCCTGTCTTCCTGCCGTCGACTCTGCCTCTGCTGTCGACGCTGCCCTTGCTGCTGCTGCCAACTCTCCGGGTGTGACTTTTCACGTTTTGCCTCGTGAGAAGAAGCGTGCCTTGGAGGACAAGAGCAGCCAGCCGTCCAAGTGGCCGCAGAAAGGCAAGGACAAGGACGGTAAGGGTGGAAAAAATGGCAAAGGCAAAGACGGGAAGACCAGGCCAGGCAACGGCAAAGGCCCTGGTTCCCCGTCGAAACAGACCGCTGTCCCTGCTGCTTTGAAGGGACTCGATCCCAACCGGGACGGTGCGCCTCTCTGTTTTGACTTTTCGCTGGCACATGGGTGTAAGCGCGAGACGTGGAGCACATCGAAAGGTGTGCAGTGTGAGAAAGGTTTGCATCTCTGCATGCGCTGTGGCTCTGCGGACCATGGTGCTCATGCTTGCACAAACTGAGGCCATACTTTGGAGGCGACTCAGACCGAGGTTTGGCCGGACTTGTCCGCTGGCCATTCTTCTTCCACTGTGGCTCCTGTCTTAGCTGCACCGGTCTGTGCCTCTGCCTCAGCTGACAGTTCTTCTGCATCTTCTGATGGGTCCGTAAGTGGCTCTTCTTCTTTTGCTCAGGATTCGCTTGGCTGCGTTTCCGATGTTTTTTCCGAGGCATCTGCTGTGCAAGCCGCCGATGATGTTGTTTGCTCTGCCCCTGCCGTGCCCTCTGCTGCATGCGTGGGCCTCAGTTTTGACAAATCGCAGGATGCTGTCGTGAGTGCTGCTGCTGCTCATGGCAGTGGCCAATCTGTCCCTCTTGTCGAGGGTCGCGCACCTGCTGACAATCCGCATGTTCTCGCTTCTGCGCAACCTGATAGTTCACGG